ACCACATCTCGAAAGTATAAACCGGTAATCAACAGATTACACTTGATATCGTTTACTAACCTAAACTATAAATAAAACCAAACGGTAGAAAGCATAATAAGTGTTTCCCTATACGACCACATCGGTCCAAACGGCCAAAACCAACATAAAACACCCACTCCTAACATACTATAAAACTCCACAAGGGAGACGACAAAAAACACACTCTAAAAGGAAAGAGAAAAAAAAAACAAAAAAAAACAAAACACATTACCACACTAACAAGCACACAAAACGAAATTAGAAAAAAAAAAAATTAACTAGAATAAAGCCCTCTCCACCAACGGTCAACACTCGCCTATAGCCTTCAAACAAGCCAACACCCAAGATGACTACTCAAACAGGATCCAAATCCAGCCCAAAAACCCAGAAACTCTTTCACCGGCTATCGAGCCCCCAGGTCGAAAACAAAAACCTAACCAGGAGGCCATCCTCGGACTGGTACCAAGTCGAGCCCACATTCCCAGACGAGTTGACGACCACCGCCAGCCGTGCAGACGCACCGTCGCCGTCGCCCCTGTGATCCCAACCCCAGAGCCAGAGAAGGAAGGGAAAAGCAACAGAGGCAGCCACGGATTCCAACCACCACCAACCGGCCGAACGTCCGTTGCCTGAAGCCCGCTTCAACGCACCAGCCATAGCCCGTCGAGGGTGTTAGGAAATATTTAATTTCCTATGTATAATCTAATTATGGGAAACATATTATATACAATTATATTAGCTATTCAATTAATTAATAAACTCAATTAAGTGATCTAAATAAAGTAGAGTCCATGGGCTACGTAAATTGATATGGGCTCATTGAGTGGATATCTAATATTATTAGGGTTAGGTGATAATGGGTGGTCTACCCTAATAGTATATATAAAGACCCTCTTGGTTATGGTCCCCAATATACTAAATCAAACATAGTTCTCTTTTCTCCCCATCTGAATTGAGAATGACGGTCCCATATGAGGAATAAGGCGATTTAGTTGAGGAAGACCATAAAACCGACCCCGTTCATGATCGAGGACGTGTTCGTGATCCAGATCCTGGTCATGTCAACATTCATAGAGATGAGATCCGGAGATTGATGATAAGGTATTCCGCATCTAGACACAATCCCAATGGATCAGGTATTCTTTATAATCCTTAATTATAATCTAGCGCGATGTTGATTTTCCTAGAATTAAAACATGTTCTAGGATAATTGTTATTGAATTTATATTTGTGATTATAAATTCCTACAAGTGGTATCAGAGACAGGTTATCGACTGCTAGATCTAGATATATTGGATCCAGTTTAATATTTATGTAATCCGTCTAATTTGGATGAAAGAGATCCAGTTTTATGCTAATTTAGATTTTGTCTTCCTCTTTGAGCGGTTATTATAAATCTACGAATTGGGATGACAAATAAGGGAATTTTCGGCCTTAATAATCAAAGCTTTTCAATTCTTTGATTTATGTCTTTAATTCTGAATCCGACTGAATCCAGAATTGGATTAATGGTGTGCCAACATGATTCATGTTAATATGTTTTATGTTTTTGAGAATTGAGATGCTTCAGAGTTCAGACTTAATAATGAGGATTTGTATTTCATGCCTTGAATTGGATAAATCATGTCAGTTTATCAGAAATCCTAATTTTAAAGTGGGATCATTTGGGCCATGAGTAGTGGATGAAATATGCACATTAGGTTAAGTGATGACTTTTTTTTAAAAAAATAGGTTTGTTAATTAACATTATCACTCGGAATGGACGTCTGTTATGCCGTGTATGTACATATATGTTACTAAGATAGTCCTATGTGCATGCTACTACATATTTTAAAGGCTCGTTTTGGTATCGGCATTTAACTTTAAGTTGAAGTTCGGTTTTCTTGGAATTAAATTGATTTACGGCCTTTGTATTCTATAAGGCTTTACTTTATTTCGATCTAATTCTGAATTAGTAAATCAATTTTTGGTTTAATTGATTACTATATATTGTTTCTTTGGTATTTAAGATTGTTAATGCCTCTGCAATTTTATATGCATCTAATGGTTGATCTTAAAACTAATTTTTTTTTTTTATATATGGGGTTTTAAATCAACATAAGGAATTAGGTTTATGGTCTTTCACTAAAGAAGACAAAATAAAATGGTGAATCTTTATTTTGTCTTATTTTGTTATATTTGATTTTAGGCTAAATTGTGAGTGTATTTGAGCTTAAGTTGACATTTGGTTTTCGTCCTACTCGGCTCAAATTAACAAAATTTGTTTTTAGCTCAAAATCTAGATGTTTGAACTTTGTTCTATGTTTTGTGGATTTACTTCACATTCGGTAAGGTTAAGCCTAATTTGGTCATAATAGGCTTTGTCTATATAAAGTTGAATTTAAAGTCTAATCTGGTGTTATAGACTTTAAATTCAAATAAAGTTAATGGACACAAGTTCATATAAAGTTAAATTTTTGGCTCAAATTGAAAGTTAGATTTTGAGATTATATTTTCTTGGTATCTCAAAATAATTATAAGGTATGAGTTTTGAGTTAGACTTTGTAGTAGGCTCATAATGTGTTTCCCGAATGCGGGGCTAGTTATCCTAAGGCTATGATGTATATTGAAAATTTTCACATATAATCTATAAGGGATCTTTGAGTCAATTATGAAAATCATATTAAGCATTTTCATGACATATGTGTTTAATTTGGTTTAGGCTTAAATTCCAAAGCAATGTCATGTTGAGTTTATATATGCTTGAGCCCAATTTCGGATAGCCATATTATGACTAATGGATTGAATTTTAACCCAATTTGGTAATTAATAGTGGGCCGTAAATTCAAAAGAAAGTTTATTTGGATTTAAGCTTATTGAAGTTAGATTTTAAGACTAATTGGTTATATAGGCTTTCAATCTAAATAAAGTTAGAATTAAATTTATTTTAATTCATAAACTTTAAATTCATAGTTTTCCTGGGGCGACGTATTAACGTTGTTCAATTGAGTAATAGAGAAATTCTCGGTCACATTTACTCTGATGTTGTGATTTTTAATTTTGTCAATCAAAGTATCATGTTGTTATAGCAACCTCTGTGCATAGAAAATGACTTTGTTGAAATTATTTTAATGTTGTGTGAAGTTGTTCATGTGATCTGTGCTCGGCCCATAGGTAGACACAGGTTGACCGAATAATAACGCACATATGGTGATAAGAGAAACTCATATGAATTTTACTCAATTGGTCTAGTAATTTTCAATTTAGTCAATCAAAACATCATGTTGTCATAGCAACCTCTGTGTGTGGAGAGCGGTTTTATTGAAATTACATAGATGTCGTGTGGAATTATTTATGCGTTTTGTGATTGGCCCATAGGTAGACACGATTTGGCAAAATAATAACACACATGTGATGATAAGTATGTGATAATTATTTGGATTGTTCATGTGAATATTAGTCAGTCCAAAGATAGACTTTTGTTTGATAGAACTTATTATCAATGCTTGATCGTTACAACAAGATTACCACTGCAGTTAATTTTCTGTCCATAGACGAGATTAATGTTGCACTATGGTGTCTTGCCACGTGTCCCTATTTACTTACCCATATTTATGTATGCCATAAATTTATGTGCGAGTATTTTAGTATTATTATCTAACCTTGTCATCTGCTTACCTTAATTCATTTGTTATTATATATATTTTTCTATAAGTTTTATGTGCTTATAGAACAATATTTGGTTATTATTGGGACATAAGGTTGATGGATAATGTAGGAAGTTCCACTATGGATATTTGATGAAATAATATATTTTTTGATTATTGTTTCAATAAAGTTAAATAGAACATAAAGAAATACATTGCTATGTCTAAGTCTCGTATTCAATCTAAAGGCATATTAATTGTACATAAGGTGTTTCTTTTGTTATGTGATTAAAGAAAATTTGAACGCGAAAAGACTTAATGTACAATGTATCCTTCATAAATCCACATTATAAAGTTTGCTTCTTAATATAAGTTAGCTAGTTTAGTTTTGTACCAATTAAGTATTTCGTGAGTAAGTTTTCTTACTCACATGAAGCAACCAAATCTTTGCGTGGTACAACACATATGAAACTAACTCAATTTTGTTAAGGTTATGGTAAAAGAAATATGATTGACCATTTCTCTTTGCCATTAATGTGAGAAGCAATGTGACTCGTTATTAATAGAGTTTGTGAATGGTGTAAATCCCATATCCCTTATGGTTTTCTCAACTTACACTTTGGGGATGTCCACCTAAGGTAAGACTTTAATGTCTATAAACTACTCGTTCAAAATTCTATAAGGCTTTTTAATAATGAATTTAAAGTTAATTTGAGGAAGTTGAGCTTGAGTGGGAGATAAGGTTATAAAGCATTATTTAGGAATGCAAATATGGTCCCAAAATGCAAACTCAACCACCTCAAATAAGTATATTAAAGCTTTGATGAAATTATGTGTGATTGACATTTGGAAGTTTGTCAAATTGTCTAAAAGTATGAGTCTCATTGGTCATAAATGTGGCTTAATGGATTCATAAGACAATAATGAGAGACATAAGGTATGTCTAGTCAACATAATTTTCATCTAAATAAGGACTTTGTTACAAGAGGCTTTTCTTTTGGTTTTGATGAGAAACTCTTTGTAATCTATGTCATTTTGAAGCATCTTATATTAATTTAACTCCCTCTATGGCACTACAATTATATTAAGTCATTATCTCATTTTTATCGAGATAAAAAAGTTAATAATTGTATTTACTATAGATTGAGTGGGAGATACTGAAGGAAAATTAAGTTTTCTCATTCATTATCCCAAGAATGAGTATAATTAGAATATACAAAAGATATACATATGATTGGGAATCTTTTGTATTTTCAAAATGTATGCATTTGGATTCCACATACATTTGATTATTTGACAAATGATTGAATTTTGATTATTAACTCATTGAATGCAGCCAAAGGGTTTATAAAGTTTTGTTTGAGAACAAAAGAGAGTTTAAACTCACTTAAGGATTATTGGATCATTTGGGAGATCATTTGGAACACTAATTTTGAGTTTATTGGATGTCTGTAAAGTTGAACGATCCAAATTTACGTTATGCTACATTAACTGCTAGTTGGAAGAACTAATTTAGAAAGTGGCAAGCAGACACTTATAGTTTATTCCTCTTTAGCAATTGAGTTTTAGCTTATCCAAAGGCATCTTATAAGGTTATGGTTGCATAATATTATCACTAGGCTGCATGTTGCGAATGGTATTGAATAACACTAAAGTTCTATTGTGATAATATTAGTTTGCCTTTTTTCAACAACAATAGTTGTTCATAAAGTTTCTTGTTGTTTCTAAGGATAAAATTCATGTTGATGAATTTTTATTGAACACATAAGGATGAATTTATGCTTGCAAATTCATAGCTCCATTATAAGGTATACTAAAGTATTAGCACTTGAAGTATTTTATGAGTATATCGCTCATATAAATGTTACTATGGATATTACCTTAGTTCAGTGGGAGTAAGTGTTCAATGTATTCTTGAATGTTATAACTTCAGTTTTCTGCAGAATAAAGTTGATGGTTATGATTCGTTGTGAATCACTAAGGTTTTCTATTTTTGTGACTTTGTGTTGCATTTATGGATTGATCTCACTAAGGATTTAAGATTGGACCAGTTGGAAATAGACATGATAAAGATCACATTGCATGTAATTTCCATGCCACTCACCATATTTGATCTATGTCATTGAGTGTACTAGGATGGTGATTTTCGGGGTTTAACCACGATTTGAAATGTGGTGAAAGCCGCGGTAGTTCCATTGCTAGTATATGAGATGGACCAGATTGTTTAAGGTCGTCTGAATGAATAGCATAAAGATGTGCAACTAAGGAATTACAATAATTGCACTGGAAATAATATGTAACCCAAGTGGGAGATTGTTAGGAAATATTTGATTTCCTATGTATAATATAATTATGGGAAACATATTATATACAATTATATTAGCTATTCAATTAATTAATGAACTCAATTAAGTGATCTAAATAAAGTAGAGCCCATGGGCTACGTAAATTGATATGAGCTGATTGAGTGGATACCTAATATTATTAGGGTTAGGTGATAATGGGTGACCTACCCTAGTAGTATATAAAGACCCTCTTGGTTATGATCCCCAATATACTAAATCAAAAATAGTTCTCTTTTCTCCCCATCTGAATTGAGAATGACGGTCTCATATGAGGAATAAGGCGATTTAGTTGAGGAAGACCATAAAACCAACCCCGTTCATGATCGAGGACGTGTTCGTGATCCAGATCCTGTTCATGTTAACATTCATAGAGATGAGATCCGGAGATTGATGATAAGGTATTCCGCATCTAGACACAATCCCAATGGATCAGGTATTCTTTATAATCCTTAATTATAATCTAGCGCGATGTTGATTTTCCTAGAATTAAAACATGTTCTAAGATAATTGTTATTGAATTTATATTTATGTGATTATAAATTCCTACAGAGGGAAGTCCCACGCGAGAACTTGACCAGCGATCCTCGGAGAGGCGACCCACACTGGTACTGCCACGAGCCTTGACACCCACCTGAGGGAGGCAAGCCGCCGCTAGTGGAGAGGCATGCTGGAGGAGATTTTTAGGTTGCAGACGCAGAAGTTTTAGTGAGAGAAAGGGCTTTAATTTAGTGCACCGCTAATTGATAGTTGCTAGGTTAACTTTGTAGCTCCTAAGTTAATTTAGAGATTACAATGATGACTGAAAAGTTAATTGATATAATAAAAGTGGTTGTTAATTTATAAATCAATTGAAATAAGAAAATATAATGAACTTTTTTGAAAAACTATTACAAAAACATATGAGATAGCTCGAACATTTGAAACGAAAAACTCATTATACCAAGCAAACAAAAAATATTTTAGAGAGAATGTTTGTCTCTCCTAACTCCCCTCGCATTCTTCTCTCTAAAAATCATTACATCGGCCGGCCTGCCCTTTCGTCTAAATAGCGGCCGGCCCCGCCGTCGAAAACACCATTCTCCATCACCTTCTACGTATGTTTCTCCCTCGATTTCAGCTTTTGGACTCGGTCCTGAGGGTTTTATGTTTTAACTTGCTTTCTTGTGAGTGAGGGGTTGACAGAGAACATCCAGTAATGGTGAATGTTGTGTTGGGCATTCAAGAAAGCCCTTAAATACATGGTGGTTCAGACAATCTCTATATTTATTTTGTCGATTAAGTTGTGTTGTTTCGGAGTTCTCATATCTCAGTATCTAGATCGCAGTCTTGTCTATCTTATGTAGCAGTGACAAGTCGTATGAGACAGGAAGGAGATTAATCTACTTTGTAATTAATGAGTTTTAGTGTTTGTTTTGTGAGTGTGTGTGTGTTTTTTTTACTCATTTACTAAATACCGCACCCAATCTTAAGTCACCGCACCCAAAAAAGACAGAGTTACCCTTACGAATTTTTTTGAATTTCTTTTTTTAGGGCCGCGCGGCGATTGCGGCTCTCTTCCGTGTTGACGCGCCGCGATTGTGGCTCTGGTCGGTATTACGGCGCCGCGATTGCGGCCGCGTTTTTTTCGGATTTTTTTCGAATTTTTTTGATTGAATTTTTGTTTTTTTTTAAGAAATCTTTTTTTTTGTAAGTTTTGTGAAAGATTATTTTTTCTAGGAATTCACATTCACAAGATTGTAGGAATTCTTTTTTTTAATGTTAAAAAAAATGAATTAAAAATTGAATTTTTTATTATTTTTTTTAGTAAGGGCAAAAAGGTATTAATTGGGTGCGGTGATTAGTAAAATTGGGTGCGATAAATAGTAACGCTTTTTTTAATTCTTCATAATTGGAGTATTTTATTTGTTTTTATTTGTGTCTGTGTGTAGTTTCGAATTTAGGATGTCAGGTACACAGTTCTCCTAAATTCAGCTTTGTGGTTGTTTTAATTAAGCTATTTTAGGTGGTTTTTAGTTTGTAATATTTTTAAGAAAAATGTTTAAATACAAAATCTCATAAGTTAACTAACTTACTTATTAAACATAACTACATAAATACAGTAATCATATAATTTATTTTTTATATATACAATTTGTGAATTTAATTACATTGTATTAATGACGAGCTACACGTCTTTAAGGTTAAGTAAAATATTTCAAAAGCAACGGTTAAAATAGTTTTTAAAAAAAAAAAAATAATAATTATAATAATATTGGTTTTTTATTGCGAAAATTAAATAATTTTTATTATGATGACCGGCAACCTTTGTAACATACCTTAAAGGTTTTCAATTTTAAAAGGCAAAAGTAACAAAAAAATATAATTTTGGGAACGACTATAGACGTGATGTGAAAATAATCAGTGGGTAAATCCACAGATTGCATGGCGAAATATATTTACCGCGTGTCTGAATTTGACAAATGTACTTTCATTTCCCTTTTCCCCTTAGATATAATTTTTTACAAAATAAAATAATCAAACCCAATAGCTTCATCCATAGAATATGCTGATACTATGTTCGGATGTTTAATCCATTCCCACTTTTACTGTTTCCCGAAAAAGATTCACTACTTATCATTATTTTGCTAAGTTCATGAATCGTAAAAACAATTTGCAAAAACTGCAGAAATCGTGGTTTAAAGCCAAAATGGAAACACTTGGCTTCGTAAGTTCTTATTTAGATAGTAACTTAGTAAGTATTTAGATAGTAACTAAGTATACATTCACCTATCAGGGAATAAGGAAAGAACAGAAGAACATTTTAAAGTCGCAAGTCTCGAAGAGGAACAATAGGATTATATGTAAATTCGGATAAAAACAACCTTCTGTGTTGATGAGATTATGAACAGAAGGTGCTGGCAAACCTTCCCTGCCCAAGCCCTGTTTACCTGGAAATACAGTCAGGTGGAAGATAAAATCATAAACGACAAAGAAAGGAATTCCTTGGGCAAACGGGTAAAATTGCTTGAATCAACGCAATGTCGACTAGGTGTCATCATAAAGGAAGAGAGAGAAGAATCAAATTCAAACACCAACAAAATTTGTGTGCTTCTTCTCGAAAAAGAAGCGTATTTTTCGCATGACCAAAAATAAAGATAGTAATAGATAGCAGACGAGGCAAGTTAAAAAATGCAAAGAGCCACAACAAACTCCCTGCAGCCTATTGCTAGGTTAAACAATTCAGAACCTAGTCAGTTGGAATGCTAGAATATTCAAAAAAAATTATTGATTTACAATGGGCATCATCTTCAATGCCACCTTACAGAGAGGACGCGTGCAAGAGGATAAGTGCATTTAGTTTACTACGCTGACATGAGCTAACACAACTATACTCATTTGATCCACATATAAAGAGAGAGAAAGTTTGAAAGCAGAACAAAAGTTGAGCATTGACTAAAACTGTGAACGCTATTGCAACCTTCCAAGTTCAACTGCTCAGCCGTCAGATGCTCGATGGCTCAATAAAAGTAGGAAGAATAAAGCCAATAAAAGAAGCTTTCCGGGAAATAATGAAATTTTTCGTTTTTCAACACAATATCATAGTGCAGTGAAACATATCAGCAACTGGACCAGAAACTAAGGTTTTCCAATAGGTGATTTAATAACTAAATTTCACTTTTGAACGCTATCCAAATGTAAACAGTTCAAAGTAGGTTTCTCCATCACAAACTACAACAAACTTGACTTCAGATCTATTGTGTTTTTCTAAAGGAAGTTGTTTGGGAAACTACGCTGAAAAACCAATTTCCTAGGAAATGCACCGGATATGATACATAAATTTGGATTGAGGGTGAGAATGTTTTGGAGAAACCAAGGTTGTCAGCAAAAGTATATGCAAAGAGATATATAAATCGGGATATACTGGACAGTGTGCCTAGCAGTAGTAGTAGAAAAATATATTGGAAAATGATGCTTATTCTTCTCCTGCAGTATGCAATTAATACAATTACACCCACCATAATTTTGCAGGCATATAAGATACTATGCACGTGACAACCTGAGGTTACAAAGGAAAACAATAGAAGAGAAGAGATAAGTTTCCCAGTTTGTAAGCCACACATTTAAGGATATAGCTGCTATAACTTTTCACCACAACAAGCATGAGACAGCTAGCAGAAGTGATATGCTAATCACCAATCATGCAAGTATCATCAAGACGATACAACAAAAAAAAACGGGAGTATATATAGAGAGATAGAGAGAGAGAGAGAGAGAGAGTAAAAAACCAAATTCAACACATAAAGAACTACCAAAATCTAAACCAATAAACCCCAAATACCACCAACCAATGCAAAACAATAATAAACACTACTCAACAGGGTAGCATAGAAGTACACAAACAAAACGATAAAAAACAAAAAACCTTAGACAAGAACAAAAAAAAGCTCATGATCACAACTCACATCAAGCTAAGTCCTCAATCATCATCCCACAGAATGCAAACACAACACAAGGTTCTAATAAACTCACCCTTGGAAACTAATATACTCAATTCTACCAACACACAGCAAGTCGGAAATAACTTTAAAAAAAAAAAAATTAAAATAAAGGCACCACATTTACCAACAACATCACTTCCCCTTCTCCTCCCTCTCCCGATTCCACTGCTCGATCCTCGCCCTCCGTTCCTCACTCCCTTCCCTCACAGGGCTTCTGCTCCTCTGCCTCTTCCTCTCTCCCTCATACCTTCCTCCACCATGCCTGTCCCCTCCCGACCTCCTGCCGCCACCTCGGTGGTCCCGCCTCTCGTAATCCCTTTCCCTGTCTCTGTCTCTATCCCGCCTGTGATGATTCGAATGTGGACTGGCACTCCGGCTCCGGCTGCGGGTCCCCCAGTACCTCCCATGGTGGTTGTTGCGGCCAAAGAGCTTCCTCCTCAGCTCCCGGCCGATCATCTTGACGTGCATGAAGTTGCAGTAGCCGCCGCGGTTGCAGCTGTTCTCCTCGTACTGGCGGCAGGTGGCCTCCCGGAAGTCGGTGACGGGGGAGAAGTCGGCGATGATTGGTCGGCCGGAGTAGAAACGGCCCTGGAGGGCGGCGAGGGCGGCGGCGGCCTGGTCCTCCTCCTTGAACTGGGCGTAGACGTTGCCGATCATGTGGTCGGCGAGGTTGTCGCAGACGTTGAGGCTCTCGATCTCGCCGAACTTGCGGAGCTCCTCGTAGATGTCCTCGAAGAAGTCCTCGAAGTGGTCCTGGATCTGGCGGGGGTCGAGGGGCTGGCCCTGGGGGTCGACGCCGGGGGTGATCATGTCGGGCCGCTGGTACATGTTGGAGAGGAGGAGGGTCGGGGAGATGGTCGGGCGGTTGTGGAGGCGGGAGCAGCGGTCGCCGTGGCGGCAGGCGCCGATCTTGAAGTAGAAGGGGCAGTTGACGCGGTCCTTCTCGGTGCCGAATATGGAAGCAAGGTGCTCCGCCATTACCGGTGCTTGCAGAGGGGAGTGCTACAGCCGTCGCCGGGGATTATTTTTGGGGAAATTGGGGGAAATTGATTTTTCGCGTAGGGTTTTCGAAGACAGAAAAAAAAAACCCTAATTTGACAGATTGTTCTAAAAAGTTGATTTGAGCTCGTAGAGTCTGTGAGGAAATTGCCAGAAATACCCCAATACGATCTCACATTTATTTGTTAAGGGATTTTTTGTTCCTTACAACTTTGCAAAAACCATATCCTTGATCACCTTTTGATTTTTAATTTTTTATATAAGTGAACTAATGCAAAAATGATTTTTTTTTTTTTTAAAAAAAAAATTCTCATCCTTTACTTCTATATAGACATTTTCAAAAAATAATTTATTCTTAAGTCTATTCTTATTTTAGTGCGTGAACAAGAACTTTAGTATAAATTTACGATGATTCAAAAGTACAATTTTCGATCATGAGATAGATTTAACAACTTAAGAGTTTCAAATTAATTCGACATTCGGATATCTGATAATTCACAGGTTTTTTGAAGTTTCAACAATATTTGTCGGTGATGAGATAATGATATAATAAAATAAGAGGTCGTTGGGATTGAAGTTTTTTATTTGATATGTGATTCCCTGTCTTTCAAATCGCACAGACGTAACTTTTTCTATTAATTTAAAGTTGACAAATTCAAAAAATGCCTATATGGCAATTTGGCTCGGACCCAGTCCAGTATGGCCCGACCTGGCCGTAATCAAAACAGGTCAAGTCGGGCCACAAGAGAAGGGCCTGGTCCATTGTCATCCCTAAGTATACTAGAAAAAACCCTCATTGTACAATCTCAGTGTATGCTTTGCCTTCTATCTAATTATGTACTCAGTCGTTTAAAATAAAATGAACAACAACAACAACAACATACCCAGTATACTCCCAACAGGTTGGGGTCTGGGGGGTCAGTTGTACGCAGACTTTACCCTCACATCAATAATTTTTTTTTATATTTAGAGTATCAATGTATATTAATTATTTTTTTATTAACCATGATCTATGTTAGCTGACTGAAAAATTGAATAACAATACAACATCAGAACAAGTAGCAGAAGGATATATAAGTCCTTGAATAATTGAATCAGGATCAATGTGTACGTATATAGGAATCACAAGAGAAGCACACAAGAAGTGAGTAGCAGAAACAGGCGCCAAATAGAAATTTGAAATTTCCAAACATCATCCACATACCAACAATTATGTTTCTCACAGCGAAAAAGATGAATAGGAATCAATTTTTTTTTCTGAATCACTCGACAACAAACACTCAGATACAGATCAAGCTTAGAAGTGTGTTAAGCTGATCAACTGAAGAAAAAGGATACGACACAAAAGTTTGTTAGTTATGTTATCTGGGCAAAGAACTTGGAGGAAAATTACGCAGCGGGTTCTCCCTCAGTAGCTCGGTTTCTCTGAAAATCAAATAAGACCCGGACATTAGATATTCGAAAACTAAGAGTTGGTTGTGCGAACAATTATCCAAAGCAACGACTGATTATTTCTTACTTCTTAATATCTCGGCCGTCCCCAGGCCTGAGCTGCAGAGCAGAAGACTTCTCCCCCTCGTTTTCTCGTTTATCTTGTCTACTAGATGCGAAATCAATATGTTCATCAGCAATTTTAAAAAAAAAATGTGTATACTTTATTTGGCAACTTATTGTATAGCACAAAGCAAGAATGTTTTGAGATGGAGGTGGTCAATTTAAACATATTGAAAGTTTCGTAAGCTAGCTAGTGCTCGTCAAGCATTCTTAATCATGGCGAAAAAAGAAAGAGAATAAAATAAGTACCTCGAGCCTTCTTCTTCATCCACAAAGATCTCAAGGCATGGGCCTGGAGGTGGTCTTCTTATGCTTTGACCAGGTTTGTTAGGAATCTGTAGAAAGTAGTTCACTCAAAGATAAGAAGGCATCAAAAGTTGCGACGATTAACCAATAAAAAGGTTAATATTCAATGTTTTACCTTAGTTGACGTCCACTTTGAAGGAATTGCACTATTCTCTTTGTTTCTTTCTGCTCGGGCACCGAGTGAGTGCCATGGTTTTAAGCCGAACTTGGACATATCTTGGGGCCCATGATCCGCTAGTGAACTATTGCTGCTGTCCTTAAAAATGGACAATGCAGTTCCAGGAGCCCTAATAACAGAAGTAAAATGCAAAAAATATAACACACCTCATCCCCATTGATATATATCTTGTCAAAAGAAGAGAAACTTACTATCTACTTCAATAAAATTGGTTGAGTGTGTTACTTGAGTATCTCAACTGATTGCTAAATTTGTTACCCGACTAGCTAGCCTTTCCTAAATGATCCAAAGTATACTTAAATGATGCATGTAAGTGCAGGGCCAAACTATAATGATAAAAAAATGTCCATCAGCAAACATGAAAATTGGAGCAGAGGATAAAGAACTCATACGCCCCCTTGTCGAGTCATGCATAAATTCCCAAGCAGCCTCAATCTAACAACCTCATACAAAAAATTCCCCAAAATGCCTAGAACGACACCATCAGTGAAGCATTTCACCTTACTTTTATGGAGAAACCCATTTAAAAAAATCAAATTAATATGTCCCAATAATAAATAGCCATCTGACTTTATGTATCAAGGGGTAAAAAGAAGCTTAAGAAGCTTGTATAACTGTAGACCATTATTTGCATGCCATTGCCCGAAACTGAACAAGCAGATAGGCGACATTGCATTGTTTACAAGAAATTATGCAAGGAGCTGTCATGGCCATCATTCATACTTACAAACTGTAATCATAGGAACTAGTTCAAATTTGAGCAAAGCTAGTAGCATCCAAGACTTGTGGACATGGCAACCATGTTCTAACCTGTCTGTCTTGGGCTTTTTCCTAAAAATATCAGAACTCTCAGAAGGTTGGTTTCCTGCTATCACAAAGAGGTATTAGGCATCAAAAACACCACAAAAATCATCCTCAAAACCTTTAAAAGTTATGAAGTAAATGAGCAGCTCACTTGTTTGCCTGGTCAACACAGTCCCAAAGCTTCGAGCTGGTAAGTGGTTCTCTGTCACATCCTCCTGCCAAACAGCAACGATCACAGTATATTTATCAAGCCAGGCCAAAAGATAACAAAGCCAAAATTAAGAATAATTTCTTACATCTGTGGCATTCAGTTGTCGCATTGAACGTGTAAGAAATTTCTTGTACGCTGTTGTTAACTTTTCAACTGGTTGAGCTTTCCTAGTATCCATAAAACACAGATCAATCAAGCTTCTTAGAAGAATTAATGAGTCAAACAACAAAAGGGAAAGATTTCTACTCAATGTAGAAAACTTATTTTACAATAAGTAACTAGATAAAATATGAAGAAGATATCAATTCCTTCTATATATAGGGACATGGCGTGGACATCAAAGCAAACAATGCTTGAGTTATTAAAGGAAATGTTTCTAACTACACTGTGTAGATTAATTTACTCATGAAGCAAATGATTTTTTATGATTTATGAATATTTCTTCAACAAATTCATTTTGTATAAGGAAAAATAAAGAAGTGAAAAGAAAGGTGTTTGTTAAGTATATTTAGGCACATATATCAAGGCCCATGTACCAAAGGCCATTTGGCCCATGAGAAACTCGATATATTGTCACCTCTATGACATGCATCATATTTACATGCATTTTGAGTGATAGATTGGTTGTACTTATCATTGGATCATGCACTGTTTCCCTTTTCTTTCCCTTTATTAATCTATGATACCACTTTCATTCTTCCATATTATCCTCTTCATCCTTAGCCAAAAGGCATCATCTCTTGGTAATCTATGGGGTCTCGTATGTCTACATTAATTAGTAAAGGTTGCTTAAGTCATACATCTATCAAGTTTCTATTTTATTGTTATTCTACTAGTGTTTCTCATTCTGCTAGATCTTTTGATCTTATTCATTCAAATGTATAGGGGGTCCCGCCCCTTTTGCCACACAGGGTGTTTAATTAAAATGTCGGAGGACCTCCTATTTTCTGCGCACAAACTACCTACCACACAAGCAGCATCCTCGGCCCATTTCACTCCTCAACCTCTCTCCATTGGGCCTCCACCTCAAGCCCAAACCACCTTTCACTCTCCCAGGCCCAATCCTTCTGGAATTTTCTAAAATGTTGGAGGATCTCCATTTTGCCCTTATCGGTAAATTCTCCTTCGGCAAACCTTCAAATGAGGCAATCCAATCAAACCTTTCCCTCTTGGACTTCACCAGTTGGAAAGATCTTTACCTAAATGCAAACCACATTCTCATTGAAGTTGATATCCGAACACGCCCTCTTGAGGACCCGTTTCGATATTGGCATGGTGTATTAAAGGAAACATTGTCTTAGTGTAAGTTTTATGCTCGTGATAGTCCAATTCAACTTCATACTTACTCGGACTCCACTTGAGCGAACTATCCGATAGATCGTCGTTTTCTCACTGATTACTGCATTCTGCTCGGTTTTTCTCTTCTTACATGCAAGTCTAAGAAGCAGACAATTGCATCTCGATCTAGTAAAAAGGCATAACTGCAAGCATTTGCTATCACCACTTCAAAAATTGTATGGCTTCGATGGATGTTAGTTGATTTTGGTTTTCAGTGACGCCCCCACACCTCTTCTTTCTGATAATGCTGGAGTCATACTAATTGTGAACGATCCTGTGAAGCGTGAACTTACTAGCACAAATGCTTCTTTTGCCCATTATCCACTTCACTTGCTTAAAATCTGCTTCAGATCCTCCAATTCCACCTTGAGCTTAAAAGAGTTTGTTTCCACCTTGAGCTTGAAGGGGGTGGTTAATAATATTAAGGCAGTAGGCATAATGGCTCATGGGAGACTCTATATGTTGCCATCTAACTGGAGATCTAGTCTTTCAGAATCTCGAAGGTTCATAACATGTTTAACAAGGAATAAATAGTGCATGACTAGTACTTAAAATAACACTAATCTGAAATTTAAGTTTGCTGTCCAGAGCTACTCTCTTCATCAATGTGTACTGACAAAACCATGTGCAACCTGAGTTATGTGTATATGTTCCAGAAGTAAGATGAGTTCCAAAAAGAAAAAAACAAAGAGCTTTATTAAACAACATAGAAATTTTCATATAAACCATTGGCTCTATCACACACACACAGACAACCCCAAAAAAAGTGACAGAAAAAAACTGAGACTTACTTAGATAGCCCGCGGTTAAAGATGTCATTTGCAGTTTTATTTTTATTCTTGTGTTCCATGTGGTGTGCATAGGAGATGTAAAATGATGCATGTGTCACTCCAATTTTGTTTGCCTCCAAAAAAATATATATGACTTCAGCATCAACACAATTTTCAGCCTGTTTTACCATTTCACATGATTAGAGTTAATCACAATTGATATGTGTGATATGGGAAAAAAAAAGAAGACACTTACATATTCTAACCACACTTTTAGGTACCGAAGATCAGCCTTGTAACAGTCTTCATGCCAAAATGTGCGCACACATTGTTCATAAATCAAAACTAACCCTGAGCAATCACCACCAGGAGGAAAGGCTTCCTGAACCCATTTGATGCACCTTTGAAAATTTAACAAATTCAGGAAAAGGACAAGGGGAAAGGAACATCGGGTGTACTCAGTAAACTGTAGTTTCATTTGAGTAGACAACAATTCAATTCACCAAATTTACATGACAAGACAAGAAACAGACAACAATCTAGATAGTGGCCTATATGACCAAAAGATCATCAATATGATTCAATTAGCAGCTGCTTTTAGTGCTGTTTTAGTTCTTGACGTCATGTCTTTCCAATCTTAGATGCAAAATACATATTTTCCCTAATTAAGGCCTTCACAATCAAACCAGAAATCCACCATCCCCTGTTGTATATAATTGCTTTTACAGCAAGTCCAAAAAAATGCACAGAAATTACACCAATTAAAACCTCATATTCACTAATACAGTTCAAGAGACTTTTTTTTTAAAGTATATAAGCTAAATGGAGTTCTCAGTAAGTCCAATAAGAAAAGACCATAAAGGCTAATAAGTTGAATTCCTTTACTTCCATTCTTATTTGTGACTCAGCTAATAGATTTAATTATTTAATGGTAAGAGTGCTTCATGCAAATGCTAGTAATTGTCAGACAAGTTAAAATGCAACAAGAGCTTTTCGAGTTAATTGTACTTTCAAAATTGAGCTTCTTGTTGAGCTTATTATATTCATGCTTTTAAAGTGTGCAAGTGCATTGAGACAAGTAATTAATACCAATAAACATGATAGATAATCACTGCTAATCACATAGTATATGATTAGTTTTGCTAAACACTGCTAGAAAACATGATCCCATTTATTTTATCCCACTTAAACCTGAAGCATCATAAACACAAACCACTATACGATTTCCTAGAACAAAAGCAATCTGGCCACAAAAGGTACATACCCGCAACCAAATATATTTCTGCAGCACAGTAATTGAATAGTCCGACAGAACAAAACAAAAAAAACAACAACAAAAAACATCCTAAAATCTACCAGAAAACGAACTGAGGCTCAATCTACGACATAACCCAAGAAACTTCACAGGCTACAATTACTCACTCAATCCAAGGCTGAAGAGGGTCTTCTCCGGTATAATCATCAATCGCCTCGATTAATCTCCTGATCATTAAAAAACAACAAAAATAATCAACTCTTCATATACCCAACAAAAAGGAATCAATTAATCTAAAAATACTGGGGGAAAAAAGTCAGGCTCGTCAAACAGAACCTAACACAAACGAATCAATTCATCTTAAAATACCCAAAAAAAAAAGCAAGAAATGCTCGTCAACAGAACCTCCGTTGTTGGAGAAGTGAGTTCCTGAGTTGCGAATCGGAGTGCGATTTCAGGGCGCCGTTGAGGAGGCCAACGTTGCGGCCGCGCTTCAAGGGGCGGACATTTTCTTTGTAGAGCTCCCACTCGTTTCCGGTCTCCTGCTTGGACGCCAGAAACTCCGTCTCTGGGTCTAAAACCGCCGCGGTCGGCCCCTCTGGTCGGCGGCTCTCCATTGTTTTCCTCCGATTTCTTTTTNTCTCTCTCTCTCTGAATTTCTGAGTTTTGAATTTGAAATTTGAATGTTTGAAGCGACTATTTATTAGAATATTTTTTGACCCGTTGGGAAAGGAAAGGAATTGGGCCAACTAATTGAAAGTTGGCTTTATAATGTATTGGGTCTAGTCTTGTTTATATGGTATATAAATAAACTTAAGTTTTAGATGCCATGAATAAAATTATTTAAAATTGATAAAATCTACTCCAATGCAAAGAGACTAGGTCTCCACTTGGGTCTAAAATAGACTTAAGGATAGACCGAGTCTCTTTTTCTGGTTGCCACATCAGCAGGACCCAGCCTAATTTTGTTTGTATTAGAGCACCCACAATGCTTTGGGTCTCTTTTTGCATATGTGGCAAATAAATAGACTTAAGTCTATAAAGGACTTTACACGTGCATAATTTCATTCAATCAAAACTTGCTATATACGAAATACTCGGCCAAACGTTCTGCGAGAAAAATTGTCGGTCTTCTTTGTTCAAGACGCATTTTGTTGCAATAAACTCGCTGAAAATCTGGACACACATGAATAGCACGCGTCGAGAAATAATTGGGCGTCTTCCTCGCGTGAATAGCACACTACCACCTTGTACAACCATGTCCGGCGACCTCGCGATTTCTGGCAATTTTTTATCAGCCACGGCCATAGTCATTAACTCACACATGAATTTTTTTTGGGAAAAAATTCACGTGTTCCTTGTGAAAATTATGAAAATCTGATAAGCTACGCGCATCCAAAATTTCCTTATGAAATTCGAGCCATATTCCATCACCCCGTTCCCTCACGTCCGACAATGGAAGAACATGCCTAGAAAAAATTACAGTGCTCAGAAACTCCGGTCATCTTCTCCGGGTGTGCGACCAGACGTTCAAGGTTCCCGCAAATTCCTATTTCTAGCCGTGTCGAATTCATCCATCTCTACCAGCCCAGATAGAATTCCGGCCAGCAGCTCACTTCCGGCGTCTGTGCGTTCAAGCTGCTTCGGCCCAACCCACGTGTTCCAACCCGCTCAGTCGAACGCCCGACTCTCAGACCACCGGCAGCAGGACCGGCACTCTGTCCCTCGACCCACGTTCGAGAGTAGCAACTGCCATGTACGACTCATCTCCTACCATGTGCATCAGTTACAGTAGCCGTCGGCGCACAACAGTAACCTGCCCTCACACAGCCTTCTTCACACAACAACAACAGTTCCTGCCGTAAAGCCCACAGCCCGCCCTCCCCATGCTTAACCAGAAAGCAGCTTGCAACTCGCCACCAACCATGGCAATTTTCAGCCCCAGCCCCAACAACTGAGAGATCTTAGCATGTCATCTTTTCCAAAAAATGTGCTGATTGTTTTCTTTAAATATTCAGATTGTTTCCTTTAAAATGAACAAAATTCGGATTTTTTTAATAAATAGAATTTTGGATTTTTTAAACAATTTCCATAAATAGTAAGGCAAATGAGTTGACTGGGATTTCTTATGAAGTTTCCACAATTGATTTTTTTACCTTTCTCTTTCAATATATATAGATGTTCTCAACAACAACTCTCAGATGTCTCAACCATTTCAATAAAACATGAGCGTGAGTTATATAATACATAACATACATCATCCAAAAACAAAAACTCTTCAGCATAACTTAAATTTTGAAAAGCAATAGAACTCATTGTTTGGATACAAAAATCTGAAAGAAAGCGAGAGAGTTAAGATGCTCAGACGCGGATCCATACTCTGGTAAACATCTGCCGAGACAGAACCAGTCCCGTAGACGATAGGATATCCAGCAATGACCATCATGTCCCGTAAACATCTGTCGAGACAAAACCAGACGCGGATCCATACTCTCCATGAAACACTTCTCGTAGATCGACCACCCGATCATTGACATCCCGCACGTCACAGCCTCCAGGATGGAGCTCCGACCACAGTGGGTCACAAATCAGGCCACCGCCGCGTGTTCCAACACCGCTCTTTGTGGGGCTAACGACTTTATCACGAAACCCCTACCCTTAGTCCTTTCCAGAAACCCATTTGGCAGCAATTTGCAGATCAAAAATATAAATTATTTCTCAGCCTAATTAAAAATGGAGGCAAGAATGAAAATCCATTAACTACACCAACCAAATGGCAATTGCAATTTGCACATCAAAACAAAATAGTTATTATAAAAAATAATAAATTTACCCTGATGAACCTGCCGCACTTCATCATCTGCCTAAAATCATCGAAGTTGACCCTCTCGTCGCCACTTAAGTTGCCGGTACTCCTCCGGCATCTTCACCTACTTCAGCCTCAGCGTCACCGTCACGACCTCATCTCATCCGCCGTGATGAACCCGCCCTGTCCAGATCGAAAAAAACCTTAAACGCCTCCCGCACGTCCTCTTCACCGTCATACCCCTCGTCGCCTCCGGCGTCTGCCATCACCACCACATATAGGGCCTCGAACTCCTCGGCGTCCAAATGGACATCCACGTCGGCATCAATCTTCCCAATCATCGCCTGTAGCTCCTCCTTCAGCACGCACATCCCTAGATTCTCTAGCGAATTGCTGAGCTCCTCCCAGCTGATGTTGTCGTCGCCGTTCATCGAGCATGGAGAAAACCCAATGGATCTCCGTCGTGCCCATCTTCTCTTTTAGAAACCTAATTAGAGAATTGGTTTGTATTTCATTTTGATCGGTCAATTACTCAATTTAAAGTTTCACCCAATAATTTTGGAAGAGATGTTGGAATTAGTTTGGACTTGGTCCATTAAGATTTGATATACCAAAACTTTGAGACGGTGAGAATTAATTTGGATTCGGTCCATTAAGAGTTGATATGCCGAAAAATTGGCTCAAAGACACATTGATGGAGACGAGACCGTGATCGCTTTTCTGGACAGATATGACCGGCTCTGGGTTTAGCTAGCTTATTTTCAGTCTATCTTTTATTATGTTATTATTATTAGGACTATTAAAATAAATATCTTGCATCTGTTAGGAAAGACACTTGATAGAATAGGACTCTTATTTTCATTTAATTACCCGTGACTTGTACGGGAAAAGCAGATTATGAAGTTTTTATTAGATTTGTGAGTTTTCTGTCGAGAGAGCACCTCGTATTCATTCCCATTCGTATCATGTTCTACATCAGTTGGTATCCAAAGACCAGCGATGATCCACGATGCCGCCCAAGAGAGATAACGTCGTTGACGATCGTTTCCAGCGAATGGAAGAGCGATTCCAAGGGATGGACGACCGATTCATTGACCTTTCGACGGGAATCGAGGAATTGCGCGTGGCGATGCGAACCATGATGGAGGACTGTACGAACCGCAACTACGGTAGCCGGGCCGTGCGCGGTGGGCTTCGCGGAGGACAGGGAGGACGCGGCTTTGGCGGGGCGCCCCGCCAGCGTTCACCACCGTTGCCGTCCGGTGACGAGGAGGACAAGGAGATCGTGAGCGTCGACAATCCCTTCGCGGCTGAGCAACAGCGGCGACCCGCAGGCGACGACTTCCATGGACGGGGAGGTGGGTTCAGGCGGCGCGATGCTAGGGTTTATCGCAGGGGAGATTTTGGAGATGCTGACGACGAGATGGGGTACAGGGACGGAGAAGGTGACTTCGAATCCGACACCGACGATGACGGCTTTTACCGACGTGATGGGGGAGGTCCCGCAGATAACCGATAGCGGCGGCACGGCTTCATCGATCGGGAGGGTTTTGAGCGTGTTGGACAGTACCGACGTGACTGCAGGCGCCCGATAGAAGGGGGCGATGAGTTGCGTTGGGAGCAGAGGTTTCGTGTGGATATTCCGGAGTTTGCAGGTGGTGTTGATGGCTTGGAATTTCTTGACTGGTGGGCTTCGATTGAAGCGGTTCTCAAGTTTAAGGGGGTGCCAGATGATAGGCAGGTTGAGTTGGTCGCCACTCGTTTTCGGGGAAGGACAGCGACGTGGTGGATGCAACTTACGAGTATGCGGCATCGTCAAGGGAAACCAGAAATCGTATCCTGGATGCAATTTCGAAAATTTTTGGAACGTGAATTTTTGCCTTACAATTACGATAGCCTGGTTTATCAACAGTTATAGAACTTACGTCAGGGCCCATGTTCAGTTGATGAATACACGAGCGAGTTTTATCGGCTCTTAACTCGTGTTGAGCTCAGGGAGACTAAAAATCAGTTGGTTTCACGTTACGTTGGCGGGTTACGTGCTTCGATACGAGATACTTTGAATCTATTTCGGCCAGAAAATGTTTCAGATGCATACCAACGAGCTATTCTTGTGGAGACACAGGCTACTCAAAAATCGGGCTCAACTTTCGCATCTTCTTCACGGGCAGGCGTCACCTCACAGGCTGTCCGGACTGCCCCAACGGCCGAAAATGTGTTCAGGCAGGGACCTATGACCGCACGGCTGCCAGCGTCAGGCGGAGGGAACCAGCGCGGGACCGGCGTGGGTGGACATGCGTTATCCGTGGCGGGGGTGCAAGCAGTGGCGGGGCTGAGGTGCTTTGGCTGTGGTGAAGTCGGACATCGCCAATCAGTTTGTCCACGTGGCCCGGGTTCTCGGGCATTATTTACAAAGGAGGCAGAGACTATTTCATCACTGAAGGGTATGAAGGACCGCCGATTTATGATGTTGAGCAGAGTGAGGTGGAGGAGTTTGTGCCAGGTGATGTTGGGACGGCTTTGGTTCTTCGACGTACCTGTTTGGCACCACGAGGTTCGGCTGATGCCCCGGTCGAGTGACATCATCTCTTTGAGTCTACTTGCACAGTCGGTAACAAGATCTGCCGATTTATTATTGACTCTGGGTCCTGTGAGAACGTGGTAGCTCAGGAGGCAGTCGACAAACTATAACTCTCGACGGTGCCTCACCCGCAACCGTATACACTTGCGTGGATCCAGAAGGGCACGACGGTCACCGTTGACCGTCGGGTATTGGTTTCTTTTTCGGTGGGCGCGAAGTATCGTGATCAGGTATGGTGTGATGTTGTCCCGGTGGATGAGTGCCACTTATTACTGGGCCGGCCTTGG